TCTGTTGTATCTGTCCAGGATGTTGCCTCTGTCACTAAGTAGCATTTTTCTCATGTTAGGCTGTGAAATTTACTCTGATTCTGGAAACCATGCCTCCATGATCCAAGGGATTCGCAACAGTCGAGTGCCAAAGTATATCTTCCGCCACAATGATGTCAATCATCTCAGAGAGCTGCTGCAAAGATCTGACCCCTCAGTCCCCAAGATTGTAGCATTTGAAACTGTTCATTCAATGGACGGTAAGTCTACGCTGAGACTAACCTGAAGCCTGAGATATAGAACCAGACTTGAACTGTTTCAAGAGTATGGTGTGTGGGCCCTGGGGATATAGCTGCAGGTTGTCAAGCTTCTGCTTAACTGTGTATAAGGTCCTGCACTTCACTCCAGAAACAAACAAAAATATGATCTGTTTCCTTTTGGTTTTGCATTTTTCTCTACTGGGATTCTGTAATTGGAAAACGTTATATGGATGGGGTAACTGGGTTTTCTGCTCTGGCTGTTGCTAGACTATGACCTCAAGGCAAACGAGAACTGGGGGAAGCTCATTTTCCCTCCAGTGCTAAAAATGACCCCACAGAATGTAAGGTTTGCTGCACAGTGGTGACGCACACCTTTAATCCCAGCACTTGGGAGGCGGAGACAGATAGAACTGAATTCAAAGCCAGCCTGGTCTACAGATCAAGTTCCAGGGCAGCCAGAGCTACACAGAGAAACCCTGTCTCAAAAAACCAAAAACAGAATGTAAGTGCTTCGCTTTGGCTCTAACCACGATTACTAACGTTTTCCTTGACTCTTTAGGAGTAGTGTGCCCGCTGGAAGAGCTGTGTGATGTGGCCCATGAGTTTGGAGCAATCACGTTTGTGGATGAGGTCCATGCGGTGGGGCTGTATGGGGCTCGAGGTGGAGGGATCGGTGATCGGGATGGAGTCATGGCAAAAATGGACATCATTTCTGGGACACTTGGTATGTATGCTTTGTAAATTCGGCCCTTTTACACTGAACTTAGGATGTATAGCAAGACCAATGCCTGGCTGGTCTAACTGGCCCTGGGATAGGATAGGAAACAGTGTGATAACATGTAAAGCCTGGACTGTTTCTCTTTGGGTTGAATTTTGTTGTCATGGCCAGGGTCTCAGTCTATAGCCCAGGCTGGCCTCAGGGCAGCCCTCCTGTTTCTGGTTCTCGGGTGCTGGGTTTGCAGGGATGCTACCATTCCCATCTTGCAGTGAATTTTCTCATCCTGGTGAATGCTAGCGCAGCCCTGGGGACATGGAGGGTCACAGACCCCCACAGCTAACTATGACAGAAATTACATTTCTTACCATCTGAGCTCATTCCAGCCATACTTGTGGTTCTTACTACATGCTGTGACGAAAGCCTTCATTCTGTGCTGCTGAATTCAAAAGGAGAGAGCGCTGCCATGCTTTTCTCTGAGGTGTGGGAAATGCTCTGCCCTGTGCCTAGCACAGGGAGCGAGCGAGTGGTCCAGCTGTCCCAGCCAGTCCTCTCCTCATGCTGGCACCCTGAAGCCTGGCCTGCCGTCCGGCCTGTGGAGCTCCTGGCTGTGTGACCTTGGCTTAGGAGCTGACCTTTCCATACCTGTTGTTCTTTCCCCATCGATGTGATGGAAATAGCAATAGGCTGCACATCAGGATTCAGTTCCAGAGGTTCAGTCCATTATCATGACGGGAGCATGGGGGCGTGCAGGCAGAAATGGTGCTGAAACGGAGAGTGCTCAGCCTTCTCAATTATGTCTTTGCATCCCTGATCCTCCCCTGACGCATCTCCTAATAACTGGGATTACTGGTATATAAAACCTTAACCCACAAAAAGGAAATGTTGATTTAACATTTTAATGGAATAAATTTTGATTTTTTCATTAGTTTTGAGAATTTTACACAATACATTTTGATCATATTCACTTCTGTACCCAAACTCCTTCCAGATACACCATTTTCCCAATATACTCAATTTTGTGTCCTCTTAAAAAAATGAATTCACTTTGTGCTGTCCATATATTCTATTTTTCTGCTTTGTTTTCATTTCATACTGACTGAAATTCCTCCCAACTCTTCCCAGCCTTCCCACCTCTCCTTTTTCCAAGATCCATCCCTCCTCCTTTTCCCTTCAGAAAAGAGCAGCATTCCCAGGAACATCCACTGAACACAGAATAGAAAGATACAATAAGACTAGGCACAAACCCTCATATCAAAGCTGTATGAGGCAACCCAGTAGGAGAAAAAGAGTTCCAAGCACAGACAAATGAATCAGAGACACCCCCCTACTCAGATTGTTAGGAGTCCCACAAAGACACCAGCTAACAATTATAACATATATGCGGAATACCTAACACAGACCCATACAGGATTTGTGATTGCTGCTTTCGTCTCTGTGATATCCTATGAGCCCCACTTACTTGAAGTCTGTAAGTCATGTTCTCCTGGTATCCTTGACCTGTCTGATTCCTACATTTCTTTTTCCCCCTTTTTCACAGAGTTCCCCAGGCTCCAAAAGGAGGGGCACTATGGAGATCTTCCATTTGGGGGACTCTCTCCATCTAATGCTTGGCTTCTATCTGTGATCGTCTTGCCACTGACATGTAGTTAGTTGATCTACCAAAAATTATACTCTTTATAACCAATTCTCCCTCTGCCAGCAGCTATCAACTATCAATAGGTCCTCATCATGTGGTGGGACTTTATGCCTAACTTCCCTCTCTATAATGGGATTTGGTCTGGGTTGAGAATACACAGGTTTTGAGCATGCTGTTACCATCGTGAATTCACATCTGTATGCCCTCTAGTGTCCAGTAAAGTGTTTTCTTTAGTTATCTACCACCTATGACTCCTCCTGTGTTTCTAACCTCGTTTATGCAATGATCATTGAGTTAAAGGTGGCGGGGGGTGTCATGTAATTTAGAAATGCTATTGAGGGCTGATATTCAGTTGTGGAAATTGTGATAATCATCATCTAGTACAAACAGAAGTTTCTCTGATGAGGTTTGAGAGAAGCACTAATCTCTACATGTAGTATAAAGTTTTTTTTTTATAATTATTTTAATAGTATGTCTATTTATCAGAATAATAGTATTAGTTTCTTCCCTAGGGCCTATGACATGTTTAATTCTATGTTCTAAGCCTAAGAGCAATAGCAATTAAGGATAGCATCTTGTGGAGTGGGCCTTAAACTCAATCAGAATGTGGTTGGTATCTCCCAGGAGAACTAATGACAATCCAGGTCTCAGAAGAGAGAGGGAATCATTGTATTCAGTGACATAGCCACTGGTGATTTGTTCTTCAGTTAGCTTCAAATCCATGCTCACATCACTGTTTGCCTTTGTAAGTAAGATGGTATCTTCCATTGGTGAAGAGTTAATCACTATTGAAAGACATTGCAAGAAGCTAAAAGAGAGAAATTAAATTGGACTGCCATGAAAAGAGAAAAACAGATGTCCAATGAAAAGACAAAATAGAAAACTACAATTTTCACCAAGTAAAGAATGTTATGTTATCTAGGGCCCTTGAATGGTCAGAATGTTAAGATCTTTTGCTTAGCATAGGCAGAGATGAGAGTCATTTTAAAACTAATTAATGTGAAGAGAACTTTAGTTTCTTTGCTGAAGAATAAATTGAGAAGTTTAGAACCAGGGCAAAATTTCAAAAATATATGTTACATCATCTAAAAATTCATGAGTTAGAATATTTTTATATATAGATAATGTTTTATCTATAGATAACAATGCACAAAATGCTAGTTCAACTTGTTTATAAAAAAACTCATATACTTTACACAAATAGCTACTTTTTTATGTTATCATATTATAGAATGTCTTCCAAAATGTTAGACAGAAATAGGTAATTTAAGTTATAAAATGTATCTCTATTCATCTTCAAATTTGCTTTAAGTGATGTTTAGTCAATAATTTCTTATAATTCTGCAATTATGCATTTAAGTTTTTATTTACTTTTTCTATACAAATACAATTAATATATGAGATAAACTCACAAAATAATTATATATGTAAAACAAATAATATAAAATGCTCAATATATTTATATACTAGAAAAACATATAATGCTAAACAGTTGCTTATGTAATTCTATATTTTAATCATATAAAATATATCAATTATATTTTAAATTTTATATTTTTGAGAATTTCATGAGTTCTGTATTTACAACATCCCACCAGCTATCCAACTCCTGCCATGTCCCCCAACTGTTCAAGTTCAAGACCTCTTATTGTTTAATTATTGTGTGTATACACACACACACACACACACACACACACACACACACACACACACGTATGAATTTATAAATGAATCCTGCTGAGTTCATTTGGTGGTGTTTGCTCCATATGAGTTTAGCACTGACATCTTGGTACTGGAAATCCTATCAGTGGGCCGTTCCTGGAGATGACTGTTTTTCCATCTTTCAACAACTATTAATTGTCTCTGGCTCTTCATCTAGGGAAAGGAGCCTTGCGAGAATTTTTCCATCCATATTTTAATAACACATTACTCTAAATAATTTAGAAAATGCTTGAATTATTCTTAAAAGTTTAGTCCTCTGCTGTGGGATGCCTTTCTGTATTGTGCTGTGAATATATGTTGCTCTGATTGATAAATAAAGCTCCGTTGGCCTATGGCAGGGTATGATAAGGTTAGGTGGTACATTTGAACTGAAGACAAGATGAAGAATGGTCGAGTCTGGGAAAATGCCAGCTTACCACCAAAGGAGCCACATACCAATAGGCCAGTAACACCATGGCCACGTGGCAACATATAGATTAATAGAAGTGGGTTGAGTTAAGTTATAAGAGGTAGCTAGCAAGAAGCCTGTCCCATAGTTCATACAGTTTGTTAGTAATATAAACTTCTGTGTGTTTTCTTGGAACTAAGCGGCTACAGGATGCTTGTGGGAGAGATTTGACCCGACCTTGGGCCAGGAAGGATTGGAGAAATTTCTGGCTACATTGCTCAATTAAAAAACTCTTACTGACAAGTTCATGAACTATCAACCAATAGCTGAGGAGCTCCCAACTGGATCAGGCCCTCTGGATAAGGGAGACAGTTAATTAGCCTGAACTGTTTGGGAGGCACCCAGGCAGTGGGACCATGACCTGTCCTTAGTGACCTGTCCTTAGTGCATGAGCTGGCTGTTTGAAACCTGGGCCTTATGCAGGGACACATCGCTCAGCCTGGGAGTAGGGAACTGGACCTGCCTGGACTGAATCTACCAGGTTGAGCTGAACCCCCAGGGGAATCTTTGCCCTGGAGGAGATGGGAATGGGGGGTGGGCTGGGAGGAAGGCAGGGGAGCAAGGTGGGGAGGAGAGGGAGGACAGGGGAATCCATGGCTGATATGTAAAATTAAATTAAACCCTTACTGACAAGTTTCTCAAAACAAGAATATGCTTTAACTTCTAAAATTTCCTCTATCATTGCTTAAGTCATGCCGGAGTAAAAGTGTGCACTTAAAATCCTCACCAATGGTTGTGCCCTATCTACTCCATTGACTGTGATCTTGTAAAACCAGATGAATTGGAATGACAGATTGAGCAGCCAAAGCATGTGCTCACCTCACAAGGCTCTCCTCATTTTAGTGGTGTTTTCAGCTGGCTTCATCAGATTAGTTTTGATGGCTTCTAGTAGCACCTGGCTGAACCAAAGTAACTCTTCACATGTGTTGGCACCTTGCTTGATTCATTATTGATTTCATTACTTATCTCCCAGGCTTGCTGACTCCAGGCACCTTTGCTTTAATCCCGTATCAAAAACCCTGGTCAATAATCTCTGCAGTTTCTGAAGTGGCTTGCCATTGCTTCTTTAACATAGTGCACAACCTAGGAAATTTAATAATATTATTATTGCTCACTTAAACAATAAAAGGTATTTTTTTGCATTTTGGAAAGTTTTTAAAAGCTATTTTAAGATTATTATGAATGCTTATGTTAATAAAATTACCTTTCTCCAGGAATGGTTTGAAATTTGT